TGTTTGCTAGATCTCGCATTTGTTTGATAAGGAACGCACCGGTGTTGATGGGTTGACCATGAAGCATTCGATCAAGCATAAACAGTTCATCTTTTCGAGCCTTTCCTCCTTCATAGCGACCAAATACAGTACAAGATAACAATCGTTGTACATATCGAAGTGAGGGATGACGAATGTGGTTACCTGGACTGTTATTGGAGTCATATTCTCTATCATCAGTAAGAGTTCGCCAAATAGGATCAGCAGACCAATATTTGGATGTTAGTCTTGGTCCTTCATTAGGTAAGCCTAACACCTCATTAAATTTTGTAAGGGTCCATGTGTGTTCCTCATTGTATAATTGGAAAGTGATGGAGCCTTCACCACAACCCTCTGCTGAGTGAGTAACTGCCTTTAAAGAACTTAAAAACTCCAATTTTATTCTTTTGTATGTGGGATACCTTTTCATAAGAAAATCACCCCACCCAACATTAGTAAAGAGCCAACATACATCTTCCTCAATACGTAGTGCTCGTAGGGCATCAATATCACAAAAACGAGTCGAATTTACTCCTCGCTTAAACAATGTCTCGTAATTTGATCGGTGAGCGGCGTCCCAAAATTTAATATCATAGTAATCAATGTTCACCTTTTCCTTGACCTTAGCACATGAAGTTGACGATGATGTTTTGCGGGTTAAAGTGTTTGCTCTTAAAACCGTCTTTTTAGTCTTGAAAAATGGTGGAATTCTAGAATTTGAAACCGAGGGAGTTGTCTTTTTCTTGGTATTTGTAGAACTACGAGCCATTTATAATATACCACACAATGCTACTTCAATTAAACAAAAACCTCCCCTATATAGCCAACCAAATTTCACCCACTTATACTTCTTACTATTATTCTCAACAAGTCCAACTCCACAAAACTAACAGTAGTATAACACTCAAACAAGCCAGCACAAAATTAAATTGCTCAACAAATAGAAATTGTGAGGAAAGCGAATATGGGTACACACCTTCAAGGGCATAAAATTCCAGCAATTTCCGAGTTCAAATCCGGCCGAATTTTATAGATGAAGACGTCAGATGCACGCCAAAAATCCGACGAATTCGTTGGTGAAGTCCGGTAGATTCGCTGCTTCAAGAAACAGGTGGTTCGCTTGCTAAATCCGACGGATTGAATGACGGAGATTGAGGTTATTCGCTGACCAGATTCGGTCAAATTTAGGTGCTAAACCGGAGAGTTTCGCTGCTCAAGAATTCCGTCAAATTCAGGTCAAATTCCGGAAGGTTTCGCAGGCCAGAATCCGGTGTGTTTGGTGCTTAAGAAACGGCTGAAATTCAGGCGCTAATCAGGGAGAGTTTGCAGGTAGTTCACCGTCAAATTCAGGCGCATAAACTAGAGATTTTTGCAGCCTAGTTCGGCGGTGTTCGTGGCTGAGTTCGTGAAGGCTCTGAGGCAGCAGTTCTTGAAGGCAGAAGGTATACAACCCCTTCTTTTTTTTATTATTTTTATTTATTTTATTTTTTTATTTTTATTTTTTTTTATTAGGTTATTAGGAAAAAAATAAAAAAATAAATAAAAACTTAGTAAGAGTAGAAAAGAATGGGTTGCCTCCCAAAAGCACTTGTTTATAAGGTCTTAAGCTCGACCACTTTTTCGTTCAGTTCGAAGTAGGATCAAAAACGGTAAAAACCGCTTTTGCTTCAATATGTTCGCCTTCTTGATAGTGCTTGAGACGTTGCCCATTCACCTTAAAAGAACCAATACCTTCACTCCAAACATCAACTGAACCATAGGGGAAAACCTTTCAAACCTGAAATGGGCCTGACCACCTTGATCGAAGTTTTCCAGAAAACAATTTCAATCGAGAATGGAATAACAATACTAGTTCTCCTTCATGAAATTCTCGCCTCATAATATTCTTATCATGCCACTTCTTCGTCCTTTCCTTGTATAAATTCGAGTTTTCATAGGCTTCTAGTCGAAGTTCATCCAACTCATTAAGTTGTAACAATCTCTTCTCACCGGATGCCTTGGCATCGAAATTAAGGCTTTTGATGGCCCAGTATGCTCGATGCTCTAACTCAACAGGTAGATGGCATGCTTTTCCATAAACAAGTCTATATGGAGTTGTACCTATTGGAGTTTTGAACGCCGTTTGGTACGCCCATAATGCATCATCTAGCTTCACAGACCAGTCTTTTCTTGTTCGTGCGACAGTTTTCTCGATGATGGACTTGATCTCTCGATTTGACACTTCAACTTGGCCACTAGTTTGTGGGTGATAGCCAATGCCAAGTCTGTGTTGTACTCCATATTTCTTCAACATTGCTTCAAACCGATGCTCCGTGAAATGTGTTCCCCTGTCACTGATCAAAACACGTGGTAAACCAAAACGAGGGAAAATAACTTTCTTGAAGAACTTACTTACCACGCGAGCGTCATTGGTTGGAGTAGCAATTGCTTCGACCCATTTTGAGACATAGTCAACGGCCACTAGAATATATCGATTTCCATAGGAAGAAGGGAATGGTCCCATGAAGTCTATCCCCCACACATCAAACAACTCGACCTCGAGTATGTTGTTGAGTGGCATTTCATTCCTCCTAGAAATATTGCCCGTCCGTTGACATCGATCACATGCCTTGACATAGGAATATACATCTTTGAACATCGTTGGCCAATAAAAACCGCACTGCAAGATCTTTTCGGCTGTCTTTGAAGGACCTGCATGTCCACCACACGGTAAGTCATGACAATGAGAAATAATATCAGCAACCTCATTCTCCGGTATGCATCGTCGGATTACAGAATCCGCGCATTTCTTATACAAGGAAGGATCTTCCCAGAAATGTCTGCTCGCCTCATAAAGGAATTTCTTCCTTTGTTGAGATGAGTAGCCATGAGGCATTGTACCTGTGGACAGAAAATTAGCCAAATCAGCATACCAAGGTGATTCAGTTTTCAAAAGAGCTAATAAATGTTCAGCAGGAAAAAAATCATCAAAAGGGATATCGTCCTCATCCTCGGGGTCGAGGAGAAGGCGGGAGAGGTGGTCTGCAACAACATTCTCAGTCCCCTTTGTGTCCTTTATCTCTATATCATAGTCTTGCAATTGAAGGATCCACCGAATCAACCTAGGCTTTGCATGGGTTTTTGTCATCAAATACCTCAGTGCTGCATGATCTGTTTGAATGATAACCTTAGAACCAACCAAATAGGAATGAAATTTGTCGATTGCATAAATAACAGCTAGCATCTCTTTTTCAGTTGTGGCATAATTCATTTGAGCAGAGCTAAGAGTCTTGCTAGCATAATAAATAGCATGAAGCTTTTTATCCTTTCGTTGCCCCAAAACGGCCCCTACCGCATAATCACTAGCATGACACATGATTTCAAACGGTAAGGCCCAATCTGGGGGTTGCATAACAGGAGCAGAGATCAAAGCTTCCTTCAACCTGTTAAAAGCTTCAAGACAAGCATCAGTAAAGACAAATGGAACATCCTTAGCTAAAAGCTCAGTTAGAGGTCGAGCAATTTTCGAAAAATCCTTAATAAAACGACGGTAAAAACCTGCATGACCAAGGAAACTTCGAACTCCTTTTACAGAGTTCGGAGGGGGCAAACGCTCTATGACCTCTATCTTAGCCTTATCTACCTCAATACCCTTATTAGATACAACATGACCTAAGACAATTCCCTATTGCACCATAAAATGGCATTTTTCCCAGTTCAAAATCAAGTTGACTTCCTTACATCTTTGGAGCACCTTTTTAAGATTTTCAAGACATACATCAAAGGTTGTTCCATAGACAGAGAAATCATCCATAAATACTTCCATAGAATTTTCTATGAGTCTTGAGAAAATTGCCATCATACATCTTTGAAAAGTGGCAGGGGCATTACATAGTCCAAATGGCATCCTGCAATATGCAAAGGTGCCATATGGACATGTGAAAGTAGTCTTTTCCTGGTCACAAGGACGGATGGGAATTTGAAAGAAACCAGAATATCCATCCAAGTAACAGAAAAAGGAATGCTTTGCCAACCTTTCAAGCATTTGATCAATAAAGGGTAGGGGGAAATGATCCTTCAGGGTGGCCTTATTCAATTTTCTATAATCTATACACATTCTCCACCCTGTAACAGTCCTAGTGGCGACTGGCTCACCCTTGTCATTCTTGACAACGGTCATACCTCCCTTCTTTGGTACTACTTGTACAGGGCTAACCCACTTGCTATCAGAGATAGGGTAGATTATTCCTGCAGCAAGCAATTTCAGAACCTCTTTTTTCACTACCTCCATCATATTTGGATTAAGTCTTCTTTGAGGTTCTACAAAAGAGGCATGATCGTTTTCAAGAATGATTTTATGCATACAGAAAGAAGGATTAATACCCTTGATATCATCAATGGTGTACCCAATAACACTTTTATATGTTTTCAGAACATTGAGCAGTTGCTCCAATTCTGTGTCCTTGAGTTCAACATTAACAATAACAGGGTATGAATTGTTTGGACCAAGATATGCATACTTTAAGTTAGAGGGGAGGGGTTTCAACTCTACCTCGGGAGGCTTAGTACTCTCCCCAATACTCATTACATTCAGTGTCTCTCTGATTGGATTCACGCTCGGGTCGGCCTTTGCTTCTTCAAGCAGCCTGACATACTCTCTTGATTTCCAATCTCCATCATCATCTTCCTTCCCTATTAGCACTTTCTCAAGGGCATCATCTTTTTGATTCAGAGGGAGTTTCTCACCTTGCAGCTCATCGAGCATATCAACCTGACAAACAGTATCTCCCATAGAGGGAGCACCCATAACATTCAAAAGTGAGTATTCCAATTTCTCATCACCTACTTCAAAAGTAATCTTACCTTTCTTCATATCAATAATTGCACCTGCGGTAGCTAAGAAAGGTCTACAAAGTATAATTGGAACATTCACATCTTCATCCATCTCCATCACAACAAAATCACAGGGTATGAAAAACTTACCTACACGAAGAGGTACATCCTCAAGTACCCAAAGGAAACTTCACTGACCTGTCTGCAAGTTGCAGGGATATGCGTGTGGGTTTGAGTTCACCCATTTGCAGCTTCTTACATATGGACAGTGGAATGAGGCTCACACTTGCACCAAGATCGCACAATGCTCTGTTGATTTCGATATCCCCAAGCTTCACTGGAACCGAATAGCTACCTGGATCTCCTAATTTCTTAGGGAGAGTGTTCTGCAAAATAGCACTGCACTCTGCATTCAAAGCAGCTGTAGTATTCTCTTCTAACTTTTTCTTGTTAGATAGCATATCTTTTAAGAATTTTGCATAAGAAGGCATCTCAGATATGGCATCTAAAAATGGAATGTTAATATGAAGCTTTTTAAGAATATCAAGAAACTTACTAAACTTTTTCTCAAGTTTAGCTTGGGCTAACCTTTGAGGAAAAGGAACCTTAGGCACATACGAAGCAAGTGGCTTTGGTGGTGCTTCCTTTGATTCATCCTCGACCCTAGAGTTGTCAACTTCCTTCTCACTTGCACCTGCTTCTTCAACGACCTCCCTTGATGGCTCCTTGGTAGGAGGATCTTCCAATTGCTTTCCACTCCTCAGGGTAACAACATTCATTTGGCCTTTTTGAGGTTGTTCTGTCTGGCCCGGAAAAGTTCTTGGAATCTTTAAATATTGGCTAACTTGATTGGCAAGTTGGCTTATCTGGTTTTCCATGAGTTTACTCTGGGCCTGCAACTGTTGGATAGAGCTATTTTGGTGTTGGATGACACTATTTGTTGCGGTTATAAAGCTCTCTAACGTCACCTCAAGGCTAGATTTTTGAGGTTGTGGTTGCATTGGTTGTTGGGTGTTGGGTGGTCTTTGTTGGATGTCAGGTTGTGGTTGGTTGTAGTTGTTGGGTTGAGGTGGATTTTGTTGTGCTTGGGTATTCTTGTATGAAAAGTTAGGATGGTGTTTCCATCCTTCATTATAGGTGTTGGAATAAGGGTCATAGGGCCTTTTGGGGTTAGAGGAGTAGAAAGCATTGGCCTGCTCGATTGACATCTCCTCTGTATTCTGCGAAATCTGCGGGCAATCTGGTGCAATATGACCCTGCACATTACACAATTGACACAACTCATGTGGGCTAGTAGAGGTTCCAGCTTGGAACTTATCAAACCTGCTTGTTAGTGCCTGCACAGAACTGGTTAGCATAGTTAAGGCATCAACATCAAGTTTACCTCCCTTTTTCACAGTGTTTCGGCCTCCTGGATGATAATTATCGTAAGCTGCCATCTTCTCTATAAGCTCCTTTGCTTCAGTGGGGTTCTTTGTCAAGAGAGAGCCCCCAGATGCAGCATCAATGTAGATTCGGAACTCATGAGTTAGACCATTGTAGAAAGTTTGGATCAACATCCATTCAGGAATACCATGGTGAGGGCATTGTCTCTGCAAACGCTTGAATCTCCTCCATGCGTCATATAGGGACTCATCATTTGACTGCCTGAAAGTGGATAACTCGTTTCTCAACCTTGCAGTCTTTTCCTGTCCCAAGAACTTAACTAGGAAAGCCTTCACCAATTTGTCCCATGTGTCAAATGAGCCAGAACCTTCATCTCTCAGCCATTCCTTTGCTCTATCCCGTAATGAAAAAGGAAAAAGACGAAGTCTAAGAGCATCGTCTGTAACACCATTCATCTTCATGGTATCACATTTCTCCAAAAAGCTATCAATATGACTTACTGGGCAATCATGTGGTAGCCCTGCGAATGAATCATTGGAGATGAACTGGATGAATTGCGGCTTGAGCTCGAAGTGTTGAGCCGTCACAGGTGGTCTTACGATGCTAGAAAGGATTCCGGTAGTCGTATTAGGAATACCGTACTCCAAAAGGGATTTCGTTGGTTGGTCTACCATATTTCTATTGGTTTGATTTCTCCTTCTTCTTCTACCTGCCCGTCTTCTTGCGGTTGCTTCGATTTCAGAATCAAAAGGTGCTAGATCTTCCGAACCTGAGCTTCGTGTGGGCATGCAACAAGAAAACTAGAGAAAGAGTATAAAAAACACAAGAGAAAATAGCCGAAGCAACGAAATAAGCCTAGCAAAAACGAATCACAAATAATCTAATGAAACCGTTAGTCCCCGGCAACGGCGCCAAAATTTGATAGGCGGTCGCACACCTAACAAAAATAATACCTAACTAGACCTCCTAATTATGTAGCAGGGTAAGTCAGGGTCAATCCCACAGAGACTATGGTTCACCTAAACTATCTAGACTCATGTTATTACTAAGCAAGTAACAAATTCAAAGATGAAGAGTATTAACTACTAACTACGGAATATTAAGAAAATAAATTAACACGAAGATTAATATAAACTAAAACACCTAGAATTAGGAATCCCCTCTAATATAGATCAATACGTCAAAATAATCCCATTCCCACAATCAAATCAAAGATAATCCACAGGACGGGTGCTCCCTACAACAAATACTAAGAGTTTCTTTCGATCAAATAATAGCTTCCCTAATATGCAATCATACCTATTTTCATGGAGTCATACATATTAAAGACATTAAGAACAGCATCCCATAAGTCCTAGCAAGAATAATTAGCTATTTTCATGCATAAAGATTCTGACTTTTAATTAGGGTTCTAAAATCGATTAAGAATCAACTTTCATTGTAAACCTAATCACATTCAATAATACTATTTCTAGTTAATCATTGATGATAAAACCAACCTTAATAAAGAGGAATTATAAATTAAAATAAATATGGGATTGAGAATCAAACAATGTATTAATCCATATTAGGGTTCAACCTAACTCTAGATTATAAAACTACTCACACATGTTGATTAAATAAACGAAATAATTAACGAAAGAAAACATAATGACAATAATAATAATAAGAAAGAAAGAGAAGAAGAAATACTTGAATTAATGGAGAACTTGAATTAATCTTCAATGGAACAAAGTTGGAAGAACAAGAAGAAAAACCAACGTATAAATTGGAATAATTGTGATCATAAAAGTCTCCCCTTTCTATGTTGTTATTAGTCTATATATATCCTAGGAATTTTAGTGGGCTTAGGACTCTAAATTAACATAATTAAGGTCCTAAAACGCAGCAATTAGGAGCCACCACGGGTAGGCTGTGGAGAGCTGTGCTCGACCACAGGCAGGCCGTGGAGAAGGCTGCCATAGCTTCTCTTTGCCATGTGAAAACGAGTTGGCCACAGGATGGCCGTGGAGAGAGTTGTACGCCCACAGGCAAGCCGTGGAGGTGGCTGCCATGTCCATTATTGTATGTAAATTTCTCCCTTTAACAATTCGAATCACGATCAAAGCAAACCTCTAGCAAATCTAGCCCAATTCCTACAAAAATCAAAATAAAACAAACCAAGGAGAACAATATCGAAATATAAAGAATAATAGCTCTAAAAGATTAAAACTATGTAGAAAACATGATAAAAACCCGCGAATATAACATATAAAATGAATATATAAACGTGTTATCAGCGTTCAATCAGGTAGATAGAGCATGAATTCCCAGAGGGTTATGTCCATAGGTAGAACACATATGGATTTCAAAAAAAAAAGAGAAAAACTCAATCAGGAAGTAGAATCGAGCCAACAGTGCAAGAGCAGGTCGAATTTAGAACTCATATTTCTAGTTCGGTGTTGGAAGAACGCAGCGCCAGCCAACAGGGACTGACTCCGCGATATAGCCCAATCGCCTGGCGACAAAGCCATATCATCGGCGACAGGCTCTGTTTGCTAGATGACAGTTCCTACATGCCTCAGCAGCTTTCTGTGTTCGTAAATTTTTCCTGTTTTTCGCAGCATTATTTTGATCCTAGTTGTGACAGATATTCCTCAAATATCCTACATGTAAAAAATCCTATGTTTTTAACTCATTATGGATGGTCTTTCCAATGAGATCTTTTTTATGCATATGAAAATAATGTTAATCAAGATTACACACATGAAATACTTAGAACTTTTCGAGTCTCATCCACTCATTCTAAATCATTGCCGAAATAAATTTCAGGAATTAAAATAGAAATCCTCCCTAGTGAAGTCGCCAAAAAACTGTAGGGAATATTTCAAGCATTACATAAAACTTAAATCCCACTGGTGATTATACACTTAAGCATGGTGACGTCCAAAGGGAAGGAAGCTAGAATAAAAAAATTCGCCAAAAAGTTTTAGGAACCTGTAAACCATTCATAGGGTGAAGGTTACACCCTTTAACGATCCATGAGATCGTCAACTCCAATAGATCTGGAACCAAGACTGGAAGTTCGGGGATGAAGGTACAAATCCAATTAAACCTACCCTAATAATAGACCTGTACTTTATTCTTCTCGTATTCATAAGCGCTTTTTGACTAACATACAATCATTAGGTTTACCCTAAACCTGTTTATCTATGTTGGAATATTAATGCACAAATAAATCTATTATTGGCGATCACTTGAATTAAAATCAAATTAACCCTAAATAAGATTATTAATTATCTTATTAAGCGTGTTTACATGTACAAATTCCCTTTAAACATGCATAAAAGGTGTGATCAAGCAATAACAATAAAAATAAGCATCAAGCAACATAATAATCAGAATAACAATCATAATCGTAATAATAATCATTATAACAATCATAACAATCATAAAAATAATCATGTTAACAATAAAGCATAATAATAGCAAGATCCTAGGCATGATACTAACAAGATTAATAGCAAACCCTAGCATGTCACTAAACAATAAAGATCGAATATTTAGCCCTAACATGATACTATTAGGAAAGACAATAAAAAGCATCATAGAAATCATAATTGATATAAGAAACTTATTGTTGTCACCCTAAACATCATACTAAGAAAAACATCCTAACATGATACTAGGAAAAACATCCTAACATGATACTAGGAATCAAAATAATAAACTAAACATGATTTCTATATCAAAATATCGATAAAACAATTAAAGCACTTACTTGGATGCCTCGTACCTCTTTCTAATAACAAAATACACGCGTTAGTAACTTCAAGGGAAATATTAAAATTAAAGAAGTAAATTAAATAATTGAAATAGAGAAGCTAAAGTAAGTTTAGACTAGATTTGGGACCAGACCCTCAGAAATTAAACCTTTCACGTCTAGGGCGAAGGCAGCTTCAAACTATGTTAGGTGTGTCTAGATCTTGTGAATGCAGAATTTTATATTTGAGAAAAGGCTAGTTTAGAAAAGAGAGAGAGAGAGAGAGAGAGAGAGAGAGAGAGAGGAAGAGAGAGAGAGAGTATCAAGAATTTCTTGATGAGAGTTGGTGATTGAAGACGGAGGTTTTAGGAGGCTATTTACAACGAAAATCAGCCGGAGTATGATAAAAAAGAATCAGAGTTTCGAAAAGAATAAAACATGACGCTGTCGCCACACACGCCCCTGTCGCCAGGCGACAGCTTGTAGTGCGGCGCTGCAGACATTTTTTCCACGCGTTTTCATATTTTGATAAAACTTAAGCGTATGAAGGGTAAAACTCTAATTTCCTTAAAAACACTTCTATTATTCTAAATAAAACTCTTAAAACTCAATTATCAATGCTAATCACATTAGGATTCAAAAGAACCTTCTAGAAGATTTTAGAAGGCCACAATCAATCCTAATTGCATTAGGAATGATAAATCATAATAGCCCCCCTCTAGATAATTGGGCCGCATATAAAAATCTAACCGGCCTAGTTTAGTAATTTGGCCATAACTTTCTCATTATTCATCGGAATTAGGCTTATAATATGTCGTTGGAAAGCTCTTTTCGAACTCAATCCAACTACATCATTATTGGACCCTTTCCATGGAACAAACTAAACTGGATTGGCTATTTTCATAAAATAGGTTTTCAAAAACAGAGAGAAAGAAGAGAATTAAAAACCAACCGCAACACTAGAATTTCCACGCTTTCACTTCATTTGATTATGATTCGACGTGAAAGGTACTCATCACTGGGTTTGGTTTTGGGGAGACACAAATGGGTGTCTACAGTGAGTAGTTTTCTTTCTAGGGTCTTATGGGGATCCATAATAATATGAAGGGGTAATTTATTATTGTTGATTGTCAATGCTTGATTAATTTTCTATTAATTGATTTAATGCTATGCAATTGGATTAGGCCTGGTTTAATTGTATGAGTTATGCAATATTGATTCGAGATATGAAAATTGATGTTTAGGCTTAGTTTCAATAGGCGGACTAATTTATAAATGGTTAAGTCGAGATTCGAGAGATGAGATTTAATACCGGTAAATTAACTCTGTGATTGTAATACGTAGCAAAAGCCTTTTATGATCTGATTAATTGTTACATTGATGATTGAATATTATTTTTTACCCTGGAATATTATTTATTGGTGAAGCTATGCCCTAGGCTTTTATCAATTGATTTCTCGCTCCCTATATTTATTTCCTTTAGTTTAATTCCTTATATCTAAAATTTAGTTACTTTATAATTTAGATTATTTTAATTAATTAGGAATAGGAAGATTTATTTCCCTGTGGATCGACCCTTCCTCCCTATCTGCATAGTAAGAGGAACTTAGGAATTATTTTTGACTAGGTAATATTGTAATACCCCGTATTTTTATTGTATTTTATAAATTATTTACTTATTTATAAAATATATTTTGGGGTCACCTTGTTTTAATTATGGGATTTAAATAAATTGAGTTTTTAATTTGATTAATACTCACTCTACCAAATTACAATTATATATATATATAACAAGCCAAATCATTCTTTTATTTATTTGGGTCAATTGTTTCTCCCTCCTATCATCTTTTATGAAGCCCAAATATCTTAAATCTACCCTACTCTATATATACTCCTTCAACCCCCAAAACTTTTCCCACACAAGAGGTTAGT